CTTCCCTCTCTTCCCTCTCTTCCCTCTCTTCGCCCCTCGGTCTTGAGCCGCTTTGGCCGATCGCTCACCGCCAACTCTCCTGCCGAGTACACACGTGTCAACACCGAGCCACCCGAACGATAAAGTCCCTAGCACCCACAGAACTCTGCAGCTTGTGTGTATTTGTAGCGAAAAGAGAGAGATGTGCGATTCCTTCAAAACGTTCCTCGTCATTTGTGGGATCCGGGACGATCTGCAAGAACCGGCAAGCATCGCCAACCTTGCACGTTGTTTCCCTGCACCTTGCGCCCCTTCCGAAGAAGGATGCAAGATGACCGGGCGCACAAAGCAAGCGACGCTTCCACTATGCCCTGGTAGTTTAAGTCACGAGCCGTGGAGAACAATGGGCTCGCAACTAGATAAAACAGGGGTTGCCGAAGCGAAAGAGAGAGGAAAGACAGAGAGAGAGATACAGAAAATCACCTCAGTCGTAAGGGGGGGAAAAGGATGGCCAAGAGAAAAAGCGGCAATGCATGCTGGGAGGATCGGCGGTGGTTGGCGTGGTATTAGATCGTGCGCGTCAATGACAAAGCTGGACCTCCGATCGATCCCATTGAAAGCTCGAGCGACGACGAGCGTCGTATCAGAAAGAAGGGATGGATAAGAGAAAGGCTGTTTTCGAAGAAACAAAGGAAATGCTAAAAACACATGTGGGATCGCATCATTCGTCCCTGCGGACGTCGACGATGAGGACCGGGCCCTGCGCTGCATGGACGTCTCTATCTGTCCACGCGCACAAGATCATCGCCTTTTGGTGTGTGTGTGGGTGGTGTCGTGTGGTGTGGTGATGAGGAGAGTCGATTAGATGCTCGAGGGGTAGAGCATGATGCGAACGCGGGCAGCGAAGGCCTGGGGAGGGATGTTGTGCGCGAACTTGGCACGCACGACACCCGAGTTGCCGTGAGAGCGGGTGATGCGGCCCCAGATGACGCGGATCTTGCTGCCACGCACCTCCTTGGTGGCCTTGTAGACGTAGGCGACGCGCTTGCCAAAGTAGAACTTGGCCTCCTCGGTCTTCTCAACACCCTCGATCTTGATGAGGGAGGTGTGGCACTTGGCCACGCGCTGCGAGCGCTTGTGACCCATGATCCTTCCCTTAACGTAAAGTCGAGACTGTAAAAGTTGGGTAGAAGCGGTAGCGCGGGGACGAGTCAGTGATGCTGTGGAGAGGGAGATATCAAGGAGCCGAACCAGCAACGCAGCCGTGCAACGACCGTCGAACAGCACATTCATGGCGGGAAGATAGCTGGGTCTGTTGCACTGTCGAGGTGAGCGAAAGTCGAGCGTTGCCCATGTCGGTGGAAGGAGATGCAAGCATGCACACAGGGTCGAGAGAGGGGGCGTGTGTTGAGAAGTTGGTGCCTTGGCGAAGCTTCAGTCGGTGCTGATGATGTTGCTTTGCTGCAAGAGATCTGGCATCGAATCGTGCCGGTGTTGAGCGCGCTGACGATTGAATGCGCTGCGTTGGCGGCGTCGAGCGTGCTGATGTATAGACGCAAGCTGTGTAGATGATTCTTCCAGTCACCCATCGAACTTCGATCCTTTTCCCCGACCAACTCGATGCGAACGCGAGAGCGACGGTCTGTTCCCCCTTGCGATCCAAAGCCGTTGCTCTGAATGCGACTATGACGATGCAATCCATGCTATGCTGACATGTGGACCTTCGCCCGTGCTAGTCGACGACAATTTCGCTTCGTAACAGATGCCCTTCGATCCATCTAGGTGCACGACATGAGCATGTCCTAGTCTGCGAGCGGGCGGACGACATGCACGGGTGCGATGGACGAAGCTGCTGCAGTGCCGAAGGGCAGCAAAGGCGTTTGTGCGGACGAGTTGTTGGACGATGCTCTAGAGACTCGATGCTCCGAGATGCTGCATGTGTTCTGGGTCGGTATGATACTGCGGGCATCTCTGCGTGTATGTGTGCTGACGATGATGCTGGCTGCGTTGCTGTTGGCATTGTGTCGTATGCGAGCTTACCATTTTGACGGAGTATGTGTGTTGATGGTCTTGACGGTGGAGTGGAAGGATGGCAATGGCGACTAACGTGCGGACTGGCTGGCTGGCTGAGCGGGCGCCGGTGCTCTGTCAGTGTTGCTGCTGCCCTGCAGAGTTCTCGGCAGCTGAGCCCAGTCGAGCCAAGCAGCTCTCCGCAAGGCTCTCGGACTGTTAGCCAGTGGACCAGCCTGCATCCGCAGCCGCACACCCAAGACTCAAAGCCCATCTTCCGAGCCCAGGCGCGCAGCCATGCTCCGCCAGCTGAATTGAGTTCGGCCGAGGACACGTGACTGAATCTTGAGATCCGTTGCTCCAGAAAAGTGCCAGATCGATCGGGCCTCGTCGAATCGCTGCATCTCCGATCGCCACACGCGAGTTCCGAGGATCCTCAACGGCCCAGGAAATTCGAACTGCAGGGACCCTTTTTTGCTCCCTTGCGTTTTGGCAGTTTTTTGTGGGCTCAACGGCGCGGCATTGCTACTCTTGACCACCATCGAGCCTTCATCACTCGATCACATCCACTCGTTCACTCACCAATTCGGCCACGATGACGCGCACACGACACGGCAAGAAGACGCATCACGCACGACGTGACGTCAAGCGAGGCATGCGAACGCGCGCGCGCAAGCTCGACCCAGACCAGATCCAGGCGAATCTCAACAACCCCCAGAGGCTTGACGAGCTGCAGAACCCCAAGGAGCTCGACGTCGACAAGGCGGGTCTCGGTCTGTTCTACTGCGTCGAGTGCGACCGCAACTTTCCGTCCCAGAAGGACCAGCTCACGCACATCGCCTCCAAGCTGCACAAGCGCAGGGCCAAGAAGATCACCGAAGAGCCGGCCTACACCATCGAAGAGAGCTTGAGGGCCGTCGGCATGGGCATCGACAACAAGCAGCGAACCAAGCCCGAGGCGACAAAGGAGGCCGCTTGAGCATAATCACAGCTCCGACACATACGCTCTTGGTCTGCGTCGGTCGCCTCGTCCGACTAGTGCTTGAAAGCTGCGCACAGAACATTCCTCTCGCAGAAGCATTCTCCCAGCACAACCTCTCAGGAACAGCCGTTTCAAGCACGTTGTCAGCATGCTCGATGCATCATGGCCCGTCTGTTCCGCCTCTGTATACCCCAAGTTGATCTCGTCTCTTGCTATGCAATCATGTATTTTTATTCAATGTTCACCTACCCCATCTGGTTCAACTCTTTCTTTTCCTTGCATGTGTGTTTGTCCTATTCCCAATGTGTCGCACCCACCAATGGTTTGGGGCGAGTTAGCGACCAGGGCGAGAGCGCTGACATCGTGCACTGAGACGTCGATGGCGCTGTGGGAAAGCGGAGCCCGAATCCCGAGATTTTCTTGATATCCACCAAAGCAACACGGCTCGGAATCTCGAAATGCCAGTCGGACGCGACTCCACCTTTTGTCGATCCATCACTTACCCTCACCCTCACCCTCACCCTCACCCTC